AGCACCTTGGCTCTTTCTGCTTAGGCAAGCTGAAAATCTATAGAGTACAGAGTCTTCAAGAGTAGACCAGCTTTGGTTGTTGAATACCCTGTTGGGAAACAAAGTCAGTGGTGCCTGGATGAAGTGGTCAGCAGATTAGGAGCGAATTATGTCAGGGATGTCTAAAGTATATAGTCTGAGGTAGAAGATATGCTACATGATGGCTGCATGTATGGATCTGGAGACTGCATGGAAGAATATTATGTTTTCCATATCAGTGAAGTGATCCAGTACTATTAGATAGTTTACGTACAGGTTGAAATCACTGAGAGGAAGGAATCTGAGGGATTCTTCTATCATGCTTGGCTGCAGCTTTGTAAGACCTAAAGTAGTTGCCAAAGTTTCCATCTAGAGTTGCATACACCATTGGAAACCCTTGGTGATTCTTGTCCTTTGCCTCACAGATCATATGGAAATACTTGCATTTTTGTTTCTATGATAGAATATCTTCTGCCTCTGTTTGAGCAAATTTCCCTCCTAGAAACAAAGTACTTGGATATTTCAACAATATATGCTATTATAAAAATATAGAAAGATTAAATAGAAGTAACAAAGTAAAGGCTAGCAATGAGAAACACTCAAAATGAATCTCTATCTTTGTAGATAGATTATGGGGGGTAGGGCAGAGAAGAGATTTGGCCAGGAATTGATTTACAAATAAAAGCAGTTTTGTATGATTAGGGATGATGAAAGGCAGGTTCCAGAGTATCAAAGAGGGAATGAAAGGAGAAGAAGTCAGTGTACCTTGTGTAGACTGAATTTACAAAGAGTTTAGAGGTAAGATAGAGAAGTTAGTAGATTAACAAAGAAGTGATGCTTTATAACTGCCATCCATGCTATAATATTTTACAGTTGATTTCCCAGCCCCGCTTTGGTTCTTTATTTTTTCTGTCTGCACTGTGATATCTAAAACTAAAGCATAAAGTCCTTATGGAGAGGATTTTATTTCAACTGTCAAAAAAGAGTATTTACTTTTAGAAAGAAAAGCAAGATCCTCAGGATTTTTTAACTGCAAAATGCCAGAAATTTTCGTATTCAACCAAGTAGAATGAGTGAAAAACCAGAAAATGAATAAGGTTTTTTTCTTTGGATAGGAAAATATTTGCACATTTTTCATGAAGACTTAGATCTTCAGTTCACAAGATTGCACCCCTGGAGCTACTCTGTGGGATACCTCTAATGACATATCCCTAATGTCTGAAGGTTAAAAATAGGCTTGATTTTTTTTTTTGAGTGAGGTATATTAATTAAAAAAAAAGTGACCATGAGGATTATTTAAGGACAGGAACTTTGGTTTGGTTTCATAAAAGTTTGGATAAAATTCTCTTGTGTGTAAATTCATCTGCAGGCAAGGTTCTTTGAGTGATATCTTTTATTAGACCAGCTGAGTAGAGATTTATTGTTTGGGTTGTCTGAAGGACTCTTAGGCCATGTCCAGATCACTCATTGGCCTGTCTGTCCTGGTGTGCAACTGCAGGACTGGCACAGTAAGGGGGCAAATCTTGTATAGCACTAAGCACATGCTGGATGTTCTGAAGTAAGGTATTGAAGGTAAGGAGGCCAATTCAGAACTCACAGACATACTGTAAATCTTAGTTCTGCTGAAATCAAGTTAGACCAGGGTAAGAGTTCTGAGAGAACAGCACAGCGTTACTCCAGAAGTCCCTGCCTGGAAGAGTTTGCAGTACATATAGTGTGATTTTTTTTTTTCTCTATCACATCATCAGTTGTTTTAAGTAGCTTGATAATGACATTTTTTTACAAATCTGGAGACTTTTCATTCAGCAGAAACAAGAGGCGGGCTCAAACAAAGAGTCTGGACATCCATCAAATTTTGGGGTGCTCAACATTTTTAACTTGGATTTGAATCAAATTTAGGAAATGCCTTATGTCACTTTACTGAACTAAACCAAATCCTTGGTTTGTAATGTATGCCAGTTTATGAGCGTTCAAAATCTGAATCTGGAGCAGCATCTAGATTGTGTCTCTTGGGCCATCCCAAGTAGAAATACTGTTGTATTTACTTGATTCTAAAACAAGTATTTTCCCCCATTCAATATGAGGAAAGCAAAACTCATCTTAACTGAGTGTCAGACTGCTCCAATTGGGAGATGTGGGGAGCAGCTGTGTAGGGAGTCTTGCTCAGCTGGGGACAGTGATGGTTCCTCCTTCCCTGCCTAGCTCCCCTGTTGTCCAGGAGCAGTCTGGAAGGAGTAACCTGTGTGCTACCCTGGCCACAGTGGACTTCCTGCACAGCCTGTCCCCACAGCAACTAGTTGGATCGGTCCATTGGAGGCGTAGGAGGAGCCCCAGAGCAGCTCCTGACCTGTGCTGCTGGGAGCAGCTGTGACAGTGCACAGATTCTTCCTTTCAGCCTGCTCCTGGCCATCAGGGAAGATAGGGGGAAAGTTTGCCAGGTGGGGAAGGAGGAACCTGTGTGCTGTTGAATCTGTTTCCAGCTCAGCCAGGCTCCCAGTTCAGCTGCTTCCTGCGGTGTAGGGTAGGAGCAGGTCAGGAGTGCCTTTGGGACTCCCTCCATGCCTGCGTCAGCAGGAGACAGTGGCAGCATTGCATAGCTTCTTCCTTCCAATTCCTGTTCATGGCCAACAAGGCAGATGGGGATAGGAAGAGGAGCCAGACAGGGAGCAGGGGTTGGAAGGAGAAACGTGTGTGCTGCCTCTGCTGTCTTTAGCCAAGCCAGATTCCCTGCCATGAAGCACAGGGCAGGAGTGGCTCTGGGGCCCCCTCTGTGCCCAGATCAGCCAGGGACAGCAGCAGAATTGGTCGGGAGCAGTGCAGAACATTGGGGGAGGTGCGGGGGGGAAGTGTAGGGGCAAAGTGGTGGGAAGGCAGCCACGGCGGGGGGGGTGAGATGGGGGCAGCAAGCACTGGAGGGAGCAAAGAGCAGGGATCTGCCTGCCTGTCCTGCTTTCCTCACAGGTTGCCCCCCTGATGCCACAGCGGTTGATGGGGAGGGATGGGGATGAATTTAAGATGCCCATTCCATAATTAGATTCTAGACATGGAAAATTATAACAGATTTATAATTTTCCATGTCTAGAATCTAATTATTGAGGGGGAGATCTTAAATTTGAAGTCATCTTGGATTTGGGTAAATACAGTAGTTCACTTAACGGGTGTAGATGGGCAGGAAATGGTTTTCTTGTGGGTCAAAAAAACAAAGATCCATGCATAAAATATTAATTCAGCCAAAGGTGGAGTAGATAGCCCAGGAAATGAAAGATCAAAGTTAAAGGTTTTGCTTCAGTAAGTTTCTATTTATAAAAAGTGAAACAGTCCCAAGAGAAGAGAACTCCACCCCAAAAGACTGGCAGCTTGGTGGTCATGGCACTCACCTGGAATGTCAGAGACAGAGGATTAGATCACTCACGGCTCTGAGAGAGTGGATGCTTGAACCTAGGTCTTGAACATCCCAGGTGAACATCCTAACCTACAAGCTCCCAGTTTGTTCTGCAGTGGTGTACTCTTTTTGCCTCCCTTTCTGTCACTGGCCAGGTTCTGTCCTGGCCCTAGAAAACTTTTTGTGTAAAAGGTTTTCTGACAGCAAACAAATAAAACAGCTGTTCAGTTTGGAGAATTCCTGATTTACTTCTTGCAAGGTCTATGTTAATCAAAAGGAAATTGAATGAGGAAGAAGTGGAGGTTAAAAAGGTTTTTCAATTCTGTTGTGTTTGCTGACAGCTGTTGTGTGTAAGTGGAAGCAGGGTAAGTGGTTTAGCAGTTAACCCTGAAGTCTCAGGCTATAAACAGGCATCACCAAATGAAGCAGATCAGCTGTGCCAGAATGTGCCATTAATTGTGTGAAGCAGACATTGTCCTCTGTCCCACAGGGTTGGCTCCCTGCCACCCCCACAAGCGGCAGGAGCCTGATCTCATGGGACAAAACTTGGGCACACTTCTGCACACAGAGGAACCCCAGGTTTCCTTGCCTGCAGGGCATGCCCAGGGATTCACTTGGTGCCTCGCTGCCCTGCTCTGGGCCTTGCTGTGGGTCCCATGCTGCTGCATTTCTTTACACTGAGTCCCATGCCCACATCCATTTTTACAAATGGGGAAATGCAGGCAGGTACTTCAGGGGCCCAATCTTGTGTACCTTGGCAATTCTCCTGAAGCCCTGGGAGCACTGGTTTGGAGTGGCAGGGAAGTGCAGGCAGCTCTGGGCTGCCCATGCTTTCCTTCAATGAGGCAAACAGATGTCCAGTGCAAAAAAGCAGTACAAAAGGATATCACCTATGTGGCCACAGAGTTTGGTCATTTGTGGTGCAACAAAGAGCATGGATGTCTGTTTGCTTGGCCTTTGTGCTGCCATAAAAATTGTCTGTTTTCAACCTCAGTGTCTGTATGTTCTGTAAATAAGTTCCTACCTAAAGGTAGTGGGCCTGGAATTTGCTGGTGGTAGAGTGCCTCAGTGGCAAGGAAGAGTAAGTGATGGTAGTCCAAAGCTGACAGGTTCAAAAAGACTTACTTGGATCTCTTGGAATGGGGTGATTACAGCTCTGAAGTCTTTAGCTTTGGGTGGAAAAGAAGTGCACTAGAGCATCTCCCTCACATCTCCCACCACTGAAATTCTTGTGGAATCTCTTGGTAGAAACCAAGAGAGGGTAACAATAGCAATACTGCCTGTCTTTGTATGGGGAGAATCTCTCCTCAAGTGCAAGGAATCTTGTAATGCAAGGAAGTAATTCCATGCCCTTTACATGCAGTAGATACTGTGCTGCATTTACAACCCCCAACAGCTAAACACCTGAGTGGTTGCCTAGGTAGGGCAAGCAGGATCAAGCCTGACTTTCTTAGCTTCAAGGTCTGCATAAAAATAATAAAATATTTACTGACACATTTCAGCACCAAAAACTGGTTATTGTACAAAGCTGTGTTTAATTTTTTTCTTTGTTACCAGTTTCATTTACATAAAAATAGTTAATGTATTCTTTGATCTCTAGGCATCAGAAGAAGTGTCAAAATCACTGCAAGCAATGAAAGAAATTCTCTGTGGTACCAGTGACAAGGAGCCACCTACGGAGATGGTGGCTCAATTAGCACAAGAATTATACAACAGTGGCCTTCTTGTGACTCTGATAGCCAATTTGCAGCTAATAGATTTTGAGGTAGGTCCCCCTTATTCTAATTGTAAGTGTACAAAGAAAATCTGCCTTTCTGTTTGATCATGATGTTGTCATTAAGTGTCTGCCTACACCAGGATGGGCAAAATATGGCCTGCAGGCCAGATCCAGCCTCCCGGGCACTTTCATCCAGCCTGCGGCACCCACCAACTAATTGTACTGGGCTGGGAGCAAGGTGCCCACGTATACACCCCACTCCCCACAACATACCCTATTGGGCCTCACTCCCACCCTCGTGGGTGGAAGTGCCTGCCCAGTCTGGCCAACATACAGCTTCTAGGATGGTCTGCTGCTGCCTCTGCTCAGTTTCCCCAGTATCTCGTTTGCTCTGGGCAGAAGGTGGGGAAGTGGCAGAGGTAGGGGGCAAGCTGCAGCTGGGTGGGAGTTTGGAGCTTGGGGCTGGGACTGGTTTCATAGTTTCATAGTGCTAAGGGTCAGAAGGGACCTAAACAGATCATCAGGTCCGACCCCTTGCCCTGGGCAGGAATGGGTGCTGCGGAAGTATCACCCCAGCCAAATCCTATCACCCCAGCCAAATATCTGTCCAGCCTCCTCTTGAAGACTCTCAAGGTAGGAAAGAATACCACCTCACTTGGGAGCCCATTCCACAGCCTGGTAGCTCTGACTGTAAAATAATTTATCCTGATGTCCAGCCTGAACCTTCTCTCTAACAATTTGTGGCTGTTATTTCTAGTAACCCCGGGTGGTGCCGGGGGAACAGAGCCTCCCCCAATTCTCGCTGGTTCCCCCTGGTGGGTTTGTAAACGGCCACCAGAATGCCTCTCGGCCTTCTCTGGTGGTGGGGCAGAGCTCATGTTTAGGGGGTTGGCAGCAGCAGAGATCTTGGGTGGCACTGTTTGTGTGTAAGGGAGGGTGAGGGGGTGTGGGGACTTCCCCCACACTCCTCCCATGGTGCGCAACCTCGCCCGCAGCAGCAGCAGGTGGGGGTGCTCAGGGTGCTTGTACCCCGGCACAGGTGGTCCTGCGGGGTGGCACATGGCTCCAACCAGTGCTACACATTACGGTGAGGAGAGCAGCCTGAACAGTCTGCCTCTATCAGGGGGGGCTCCCCGCTCTGCATGCACAGCTTTGGCAGTCGTGTGCTACCGGGGGGAAGCTGCACATGCTGGAGCCGGCTGCATGCACTGCTCCCTGCCATGCAGGTCCTGGGACTCCACCAGAAGTGGAGGGGAGCCCCAGCCTCTACTTAACTGTGGAGTCCCTGGACCCGCGTGGCAGGGGGTAGGAAAGGCAGCTGGCTCCAGTGCATGGAGCTTTCCTCCCTGATGTGCAGTGCTGGCCAGAGCTACATGCTGCTGGCACCAGTGCCTGCACTGGGCACAAGTGCCCTGAGTGTCCTTGCCACCTGCTGCTACTGCCACCTGTGGAGCTGTGCACCATGGGAGAGGCAGAGGTCCCCCCCCACCCTCCCTCACCCCACAAATGGCCCACACCCACAACCTGTCCCCCCAAAGCTCCATATACCCTATGCCCCCAGACAGCCTCCCCACATGTGTGTATACACACACACATACCTCACCATACACACCCCACCATACCCCCCCGCCACCAACACACACACACCACTACACAATATATGAGACTGAGAATTTCTTTTTTGAGTTATCGTGCAATCACCTCTATATACAGTATGCAAACACACATCATGACAAAAATATTTTTTGCAATAAAATTAAAATATGTTATAGTAGGTGTTTCACTTTTAGTGTATGATTTGGTTCTAAGATGGCATTCCCCCCTCCCAAAAGGAGTATTTCAGGGGGGCAAGAGGAGGGACTTCTGGTGGCAAAGGGGGCAGGACTGGTTAGGGGGTGGGACTTCCAATCCCAAAATGGTGGCTGGGAGTGGGGCTACCCATGTAGCCCTTAGAAAGATTACAAACCTCATAAAGCAGCCCTTCAAACAAAATAATTGTCTGCCCTGGTCTACACTGATTTTTAGGGTTCACCTTCCACCTGATGAGCCACATGATCTGCCCCTCCCTATCTGTATCTTACCTGGAAGTCTGCAGCAAAGCATTGTGTTGAAGAAGCTAGAAGTGGGATGCAAAAGGGCCAAAAGTTTTGGGTTTTCTGGTGGTGGATTTCAAGTGTTTGGAGTAGAGGTGCACTGATGCATCGGTCCACTATTGGATTGGCACCGATGTAAAGAAAATTTTCTGAATCAGAAATCGGCCCGATGCAGCCAATAATTTGTCTGTTAAATGCCTGAGTGAGTGCAGTGCAGCAAGTAGGCAGTGAGGAGCAGAGCCGGCAGCATGGAGTGCTGCATGCAGCTGGTAAGTCTGGTGTGGTGGAAGGGGAGGGGGGAGGGGCAAGGGGGGGAAGATCAAGGCCCCCATGGTGAGGGAGGGTGTAGTGTGGGGTTAGGGCTGTGGCAGGGACTGGGGCTGGTGTGGGACAGAGGTACGGCTTGTCAGGGGGGCGCGGGAAGGGAGGCAGCTGTCACCACTACATATAGCTTGTCCAGTGCTC